ATTTGGAGCAGACGACTAATTAAATTTTATATTTAAAATTATTTAAGTAAATAAATAATATATTTTTATTATATAAATATACATATATATATTAGTTATAATAATTTTAAAAAATATCTGGGTTCGGGTCCGGGTTGGGGCGGACCCGGCCCGAATCCGGCCGGGTTTAAAATTTTAAATCCACAACCCGCCCCGAAACATATTATTTAGATCCGAACCCGCCTCATTAAGAGCGGGTCTTGGGCGAATCCGGGGCTAACCCGCCCCATTTGACATCCCTAATCTTAAGCAAAACATCGAACCAATGAAGATACCATCAAAAAACATCGATGGAATTCGAACCAATCCTTTTATATTTTATTATTTATATATACAGAGTCGTCACTGGGCCCGGGCGAAAGGGCGTCCGCCCAGAAACTCAATCTAAATTGGGGTCAATTATATATTTATGTTATATATAAATTATTTATATATATAAACTATTTGACATTAATGTATTAACACAAAAATATGACTTATTGATTAAGTTTTATCTACACTATTTTTAAAATTTTGGGTACAAACTCAAGTACCTTAAAAATTTATTTATTTATTTTTTTATGCATTAGAAAAAATTAGACGAAGTTAATATTAATTATTATTAATATTTTGCATATAAAAATATTAGAAAATTTATTTTATTAAATTATTCATATTTTATTATAGATAAAAAAAATATATTATTTATACATATTTAGGGGCTACTAATTTTTGTTTTAAGATTATTTAGATAAAATTAATATTAATACTGATATTTTATCTAAAAATGCTAAGAAAAAGTTAATAATTTATATTCTATTATAAGTAAAAAAAATTGGAGTATATCATTTATATCTATATATATATATATATTTAGAGGTCTATTATTTTTATTTTTATTAATTTTTTTATGCACTAAAAAAAAATATTAGACAATTATTATTATTATTATTATTATTAGGCAAAATGGTCAATAACTTCTTTATTGTTTCGAAACTCAGTGAAATATTCTATATACTTTAAAAATTGCACAAGTCATTTATATTTTAAAAAATGTTCCATGAAACTTTTTTTTTATATTTTTTGGGTGATGAGAAGATGGTTTTTTATCTACATTTTTTTGCATGGCGGGAGTTTTATATAGCGTTTGTTAAAATATAAGTGAGCGTTATGCAATTTTTAAAATAAATGAGAAATTTATGCTAAATTTCGAAACTAAATTTATGCTAAAATATTTTTTTATTTATATTTTATTATAAATAAAAAAAAATATATTATATACATATATATTTAAGGGCTCCAAATTTTTATTTCGCTCTCGACCATTTGAAAGTCAGGAACGGCCGCGCGCGCGCGCGCACATATATATATATATATATATATATATAGGATTTGTTGTGCAAAATGATTGTGCACTACGATATTTTAGGCCACATTTCTTTGTGGTATGATATCACCTACTTAATTAATTATTTGGTGCCTCTCCTACAACAAATCCATTGTCTCCATGGCTAAGGGTGTGTTTGTTCGACCGTTTGGATTTTCTTATTTTTTTACTTTAGATTTGAATAGTAAAATCTTTAAATTTAAATAGTTGTATAATGTGATATGAATAGGTATTGATGTGATATTTTGAATGTAAAATTGAATTTTAATATAATATAGAATATGAAAAATAAATATTTGATTTAATATTTTTGGAGAAAACTTTTAATAAATAGTAAAAATTTAGAAAAATTTGGTAAAATAACACCCAATATTACACAATGGGATATGGGAGTCTTCGTTCTGCGGCATATGTATTTTTTTTTTTTATGCTAAATATAAATATAAATATATATATATTAATATAAAAAATAATATTTTTATGTCTAATACATCCTCCGTCTCATAACAAAGTATCTATTTTTTCATTTTAGTTTGTCCCATAACAAAGTATTCATTTCTTTTTTTTTTTTTTTTTTGGTAAATGTAATATATACTTACCATTACAAATATCCTTACAATTTACAATATATTACACAAATGTCATTATCTTTATATCACTCAATACTAATAACGTTATTTTAGTCATTTCTATTTTATTCCTACTACATCTCAATATAATATTAATATTTCTAAAACTCTGTATAAAAAGCAAACAGATACGTAGTTTTGAGACGGAGGGAGTATTGTAAATTTTTTTGTAAGTAATAAAATTTATATTATATATATATATTGTATAAATATATTAGAATTTTTGGTAATATTAACCGAAAAATGTATCAAAATATTTGGTTAGATAAATACACCTAATGTGCGGTTTGTGAGTTGTAAAGTTTCAAATAAATAGATTCATAATATAATGTAGGTTGGTATTTGTTGTAAGATCGATGGGTTTATTTGATTTAAGGTTTTGTTTGGTCGTACTTTTTTATTTTCAGATTTATGTATTTTGCTTTAATTAGTTTAATTATCAATTTGGGATTATTTATTTCGATGTTATTCGATTTTGCTTTTATTCGCTTAACTCATACTCCTTCTGTCTCAAACACCGTGCAATATTTTTTCTTGGTATGTCCTAAACACTCTGCAAGATTTCTAAAATAGGAAATAATTAATTATACTTAATCTTTACCCCACACTTTATCCCATCACATCACTCAAATAAAAAAATAAAATATACATTTCTCTCTCCATTACCTCACCTAATTTCTAAATTATCCTACTTAATATTATTCACCTAAAAACTCGTGCTCAAAACAAATATGACACTTTGTTTAGAACGGAGGAAGTATAAATTTTATATTTACAAAGATTGTTTGAAAAAGAACCCACAAGTTTTGGGGTATATACACAATAATAATGTAAATATATGTTCAATAAAAAAATGTTTTGAAATTAAACTATATATAGTAATATATATGTATAAAATAAAATGTATCCCCTTTGTCCGTTTCACCACAGATGATTTTTTTTTTCGTCCGTACCATAAAATATAACTTTTTTTTTCTATATTTAATAAATTTATTTATTTTAAATATACATAACAAATATAAATCTATTTAATTAAGTCTATGACCTCTTACGCATTGGATCCACTCAAATCTTCTTTACTTCTATCTCTCTACTCTTTATTTTTTTATAAAATTAGTTTTAAGTTAAAAATTATAAATAAATAAATATGTTATTTTATTTATATTTGTTATATAAAATTATATTGTTTGTAAAATGTATACATACGGTATATATTTTTATTGAAATATAATGCTAAAAAAATATTTAAAATACCAATAATATTATTCATAAAAAAATTTAATAAAATATATCATAATTTATTATTAATAACTTACTAATCTACACTATCTAAAATATTGTGTCCCTCACCAAATGGGTCATTTGAAACTCTCTCAGTAAAAATGAATATGTTCGAGTAATTCCTCAAGTTCGTAGCGTAACGTTCCCAAAGGTAAAATCACATTCGTCTCCGAATTAGGTGGCTAAAATGTATGCAAAATGTGGATTAGTTCAATGCATCGTGTCAACTAGGCCACGAGTACATATAGTAATATTGACTAAGGAAAGTTCAAAGTCACAAGTTACCTATCCCGACGTGTCGATGTCTTTGAAACTGAGCTGTGTATTGTCTTAATTAATGGGAACTTCCACTCATGTGGGAGATTGTTGAAAAATCGGTTACTTATATAATTGATAAAACTTAATTTTGAATTAAATTCATAATTTTCTGAACCAATTATTCGGTGAGTTAAAATGCATATAGGTTATATGGTGGTTATTAATTGTGTGGTTAGACATATAAATGAAAGTAAGCCACAAGCATACATGCCACCTGCCCGAACAAAATAATGACACAAGTACACAAGTATGAGTTTTTGTCTCCGACTCAAAGGTCTTGTTCTCGGTTGAGGTCGTGGGTTGGACTTGAGTTTGGTGAATGCTAGACTTAATGAAGTCTATTATACACTCATGCAAATTGAAACAATAAAATATTTTGTTGAAGTCCCAAAATATATTTTTATAGCCCAAAAAGTATAATTACATACATCTATGATAAATTATTACTCCCTCCGTCCCAGCTAATTTATCCTCTTTAACTTAGACACACAGTTTTAAGTACTGTGTAATTAATAAGTAATTAAGAAGTGTATTAGTAAAAATAATTATAATTTGATAAAAATAATCATAGATTAAGATTAAGATGGCTAAATAGTTTAATTAAAATTAAAAATATTATTAATTATGAATTTTAAAATGTGATTAAATTGTATAATTATATTTTTTCAAAAAAAAAAACGACATTATGTGAGACTAACGAAAATAGAAATAGTGGACAAATTAAGTAAGACAAATGGAGTATTTTAAATTCAAAAATTCAAATAATATATTTATGACAAGAATTAAATTTGATATTTATGATCGAACGTTACCGAAATTATGCCTAACAGTTACAAACCATTCAAAGCCGATGGTTTCGGCTCAGCATTAAAACCCCAAGGGTGGAGGTGCCTTTTACATCCCTTTCCGAACACACCAAAGTAATCATCTCCCTCTCTTCCTCTCTTAAAACTTTTCCGGCGAAGTTCTTGACAAGTTGTCCAACAAAAATTTGGCAACTCATCCTTAAATATTAAGCCTCCCAACACCGTACTAGTCTTCTCATTTTAGTTCGTCGAAGTTTCGAAATATTGGATGTCACCTAATTTGAGATGAACGTCGTTTTATATTTAGGAACGTTATGTCACGAACCGGAGGCATTATAGAGTTGTATTCTTTTTTATGGAGAGAGGTTCTACCTCGATTCGACATGATTATCGAATTTATTTCGATATATTATTATGATTATTGAATTTATTTCAATAATTATATTCTAGCAATATAATATTTTTATCATATATCTAACATTTATATCACAGACACAATTCCCTATCTTAAACATAAAAAAAAATGCATTCATCCGAAAACACAAAACGAAGCGAACATAAAGAGAATAAAGGATACCAAAACAAGGCTTACCAAATATATATACAACAACACTCATCATCACAATATATACATATATATATATATAAGACACCAAAGACATAAACACAAAAAACACATCATAAGATAGATCATCATAAATAATAACAATAACAATGGAAGCAAATGAATTAATAATGAATAGAAATGGGAATTCAGAAACAAAGCCTCTTCTTACATACCTCAAGTGGCAATGAATGTGATGAGTAGGAGTAGTTGTTGTTGTTGTAGTACGACGATTCTGTATTGTTCTTCTTGTTCTTGTTCTTCTTCACCATTAATGTGACGATGTCCTCGACAAGCTCCTCGATCAGCTCTCTGTAAACTTGTTCTTGCAGCGACACCCCTATTCGATCGCGCTCTCTCCTTTCGCCCCACGCTATATCGCCGCAGACTTGCGCCACGCTCTTCACCATAGCGCTGGTCGCGCTCCTTTCATGCATTGTTGTCGCGCCGCTAAATGTCGATCTTTTGATTGGGAGTTCGTCGTCTTCTTCCCCCGGCTTCTTTGCAGCTATTGGCTTGCGCTCTACTGAAAATGTATTTTTATTGAAAAACGTAAGAATTAAATAATTTAAAAGAAAAAATTCATCGGCTCCAATTTAAAATATTATTTTTACAATTTTTGTATGTCTCACTCAGAAGTATCACTTTGTTTTAGTAAAAAGCAGTCGTACACTAATACCAAAATATTTTTTAACTTTTATTTAAATTACAAATATACCATTACAGATACAATTACTCTTTACATAAAGTTAAATGACAAAAATGTCATATAGGACGAAGGAGTATTGATATAATATTTTCTAAGGGTGTGTTTGTTTGGGGGTTTGAATTTTGGATTGTAATTTGAATAGTAAAAATTTTAAATTTGAATAGTTGTATGATGTGATATAAATAGGTGTTGATGTAATGTTTTGAATATAAAAATTGATTTTTAGTATAATATAACAAATAAAAAATAGGTGTTTGATTTGATGTTTTTTGGGATAAAAATTGGATGAATAGTTGAATTTAAATCCAATCCTCCAAACAAACACACCCTAAGAAGAAAAAAGATACTCCATTCGTCCTGCAACAAAAACATCGTTTATTTTTTGCACGTAGATTTTTGGATATTAGTATTATATTACTTTATAATGAAAAAGACGAAAATGCCCTTATTAGTATAGTGTGTTATAAAAGTGACGATATGTGTAAATATATTGTAAGTTGTAAGAGTATTTATTATGTTAGGTAAGTAGTACAATTACTAAATTAAAAAATGATACATTTGTTTTGGGAGAAACAAAAATAGAAAATAGTATCCTTTTTATGGGATGGATAGAATATTTTCGGAGAACATCAATTTCAAAATAATGAAAACTTACAGAGATACTGTGAGAAGGAACAAACCTTCTAGAGCTCTAAAATAATCCTTCATTCGTTTCTACTGAAATTATTTTTTTATTATTATTTTCGTTTATCCAACTCCTCCTAAATATCATTTTTCTATTGACAAAAATATCAAAATTATCTTATACATTTTTACTAGCAAATAAAATATTATTATTTTTAAATTTGCTAAATAATTCAAAATAATACTTTGGATCATAACGAAGGAAATAGTCTTTCTTTACATGTGTTTTCAAATCAATTAATTTTAGCACTATTCATTAAATTTATCATATCTATTATTGTCTTTTATAAAACATCTAACAAACAGTAGAAACTGTTTCACTTAAACATCACAATTTGTAACATTTTCACGATTATCAATAAAATTAATATTTATTTTATCCCTATATAACTATTTTTATTTTTATTTTTGTCTGCTAAGCTTATATACAATTTATTTATAGTAAATAATTTTATTCACTCATATAATTTAGTACTTTTATTTTAACAAATAATAACCAATTTATCACTATTTTTCTTACATATCCTACTATTTTTTTAAAAAAAAAAAAAATCAATCTTATAGTAATAGATTTCATATAACTTATAATAATCTTCTTTTTTTTTTTTTTTTAATCTACTCCATTTTAACATAAAAATATTATTATTTGTTAGTCTATATGCCAAATCAAATATACATAATTTTACCCGGGAGTACATAAATTTCAAATAATATATATATATATCCAAAACACTATAAAAATAAAAAAAAAATAAAAAATAAAAAAACTTAAATATATAAAAATACCCAAAAAAAAAAAAAAGCAAGAAAACACACACACATATATATATATATATATTATATTATAGTAATTAACTAATTAAAATGAGCAAGGGCTGCTGCATAGTCTAATCATGGTTGATGCATGAACCTACGTATGTGCGATTACATTATTTATAATGCATGAATTTTCTTGGAGGGTGGATTTTAATTTAATTTAATTTAATTTAATTTAATTTTTAATATATATATATATATATATTCTTTTTAGAATAGTTGATGTAATGATCATATTTTCCCCTTGTCTAGGACTCTAAGAACATGACTAAATCATTAATCACACATTCCCCGGAAAGATAAAAGCATACGTTTACTTATGGAATATTTTTTTTTTTTATTTAATTTTTGCATTATTTATCAATAGTTTTATTATTATTATTTCTATTTAAAATATTCCATCAAGCACATTTTAAATTTAACTTTTAAATAATTCCAAACTAACTAAAAATTCCTAGAAACATATCCAAAAATAATACTTCCTTCATTTCAAATATCAGGTCCCGTAGATAAGAGAATTTAAGAGAGGTATATAATTAGAAAATAATTAAAAATATATTAGTGAAAATAATTATAAATTAATATTAAGATAATTAATTAGTCTAATAAAAATAAAATAAAATTAAAATATATAATTTTTTTTCAAATAATAAAAATAATAAGATAAGTAGAACGAACGAAAATAAAAAAAATAAATATAATAAATGAGAGATAGGGAATACTAATTAAATAAAGTAACAATTTATCACTATTACTAACCGTTGGAAAGATGGAGCAATGGAAATTGGGATGGACCAAATAAACGGAGGGTGTGTTTGTTTGGAGATTGGATTTTAAATATAGTATTTATCCCTTTTTTTTTTTTTTTTTAAATATCAAATTAAACATATTTTTTATTTTTTATATTATATTAAAAAAATCAATTTTATATTCAAAATATCACATCAATACCTATTTATATTACATCATACAAATATTCAAATTCAAATTTTTTACTATTCAAATCCCAACTCAAAATCCAAACTCTCAAACAAACGCACCCGAAAAGAACCGGTGAATATGGAGGGACCCACAGTTTCAAATATTAGGGCAAACACTAAACACATGCTTCTACATTCTGATGTAAGAAGCAATATTTAGTTTATGATACGAAATTTAGGTGGGTACAATAAAATAAAATGAAAATTATATAATGTGAAAATATATATATTTATTTTTTATTTGAATGATGTGATCTAATAAAGTAAATTAATTATTTTTATTTTAAAAATATTGTAAAGTATATTGGATATATCAAAATAAAAAAAATATATGAGACGAAGGAAGTATAATACACAAATACTCTAATTTAATATTTTGTCACATACTTATTAAAATTAATATACTAGTTACTTATTATTTATAAATTTAAATTGAATAAATTTTATATAATACAAAAAATAAAATATAAATAAGTAAAAATTGTAGAGCAGTGGCCGCTACAGTTCCTACGTTATAAAAAAAGATAAATGGTAAACTATTTTTTTAGTCTTGCAAGTGGACTCATTTATCATTTTAGTCGTGTAAGTGGAGTCTGTTGCAAACTAGTCTCATAAGTGAAAAAATTTCGCTGTTTTAGTCCTCCGGCGCCGGAGATGTCCGCGTGGCTCGCCGGAGGTGACGTGTCCGCCAAGTGTCCCGCTAGGTCAGCGGCGAACACGTGGACTTTTTTTTTTTAATTTTTTTAATTGGATCAAATAAAAAAAATTAAAAAAATATACAAATAAAATTTAAAATAAGTTTTTAAAAAAATTTTAAAAAATGGAAAAAAAATAAAAAATTCACGTGTCCGCCAGATGTCGCTGACCTGGCGGACACGTCACCTCCGACGAGCCACGCGGGGATCTCCGGCGCCGGAGGACTAAAACAGCGGAAATTTTTCACTTATGGAACTAGTTTGCGACATGCTCCACTTACGGGACTAAAATGATAAGAAGGTCCAATTACGGGACTAAAAAAATATTTACCCAAAAATAAAAAATAAAAAGAAGGAAGTTGTTGCATGCAACAACAATGATGACTATTCTTATCTTTACTTTCTACTGTTGCAGTTGCACCCCACAAGCACTCATCCTTTTTTTGCCTTTCTTTGACTCAATCAACGCTAATATAATTGATGTTTTTTTTTTTTTTTTAATATTAATTAATTTATTATTATTTTTTAAAAGTATTATGAAATTTACTTTTATAATAGTCTTTCGGTCCGTTTCTTAATAAATATTTTTATTTACTTTTAAAATTTTTATTTATTTTTTATAAAATTAATTTATGGTAATGATAAATAAATAAATAAATATATTTTTTATTTATTTGTATTATATAAAATTTTATTGTCTACAAAATGATATCTATATTGCATATATTTTATTGAGATATAATTATAAAAATATTTAAAATACCAACAACACTATTTATATAAAAAATAATAAAATAGTATAATAATTTATTATTAATAATTTACAAACCTATTTTACCTAAAATACAGTGTTCCTAAAAGGACTATCTCTCGAGGGAGTATATAATATCCTTTCTATTCCCACCAAAAAAGTATTATTTTTATTATTTTGTATGTTTTCATTATATGAGAATTGCATTTAGAATTGATAAAAATTGACACGATACAGCAATTTGATACGAAATAATTGAATTTGTAAGTTTATGGGTATCATTTTTATTATTTTCATCCACCTCTACTATAATTTTTAAAATACTTAAAAACATATTTTAATTTTTTTAAATTATATATATTATCTTAAAACTATCATATCCATTCACATAAAAAATATTTTATGCTTTTGCTAATTTTATACTCATTTTCTTTGTAAATAATAAAATAATAATTACTATCATTATATTACTAAACTACACTACTTTATATATTGTGCTATAAACCAAACTCATCAAATGACATTTTTCTATATTTGTAATTTTTATTAATTTAATACATATAAAACAAATATAAATCAACTTAATAATATATAACATCATACATTATAAAATATCTATTCAAAATTCCTTTATTTCTATTTTCTTCTCAATAAGAAAATATTTTTATTTACATTTAAAACTCTCTATTTTTTATAAAATTAATTTATGTTAATCATAAATAAATAAATATATTTTTTTATTTATTTGTATTATATAAAATTTTATTCTCTATATAATGATATCTATATTGTGTATATTTTATTAAGATATAATCCCTCCGTCCCATATCTGTCTATTCATTTACTTTTTCACAGAGTTTTAGAAATATTAGTATTATATTAGAATATAGTATAAATAAAAGTAAAAAACCTAAACTACCCTTATTAGTATTGTATGATATAAAGATAATGACATTTGTGTAATATATTATAAATTGAAAGTGTATTTGTAATATTAGGTAGATAGTACAATTACTAAAAAAGAAATAGATAATTTGTTATGAGACATACCAAAATAAAATATATATATATATAAATTTTTAAGGAACAAAAGAAAAAAAAGGAATGTGTAATTTTTAAAATATTTAAATATATATTCTTAAAAAATTTAATCATATATATTATTTCTTATTTTTAAATTACTAACAATATTTTCTATATAAAAATAATAATAAAATAATATCATAATATACTATTATTATTTAATTAAAAATCGATAGATTAAAAACTATGTCTCTAATCAAATGTATCATTTATAATCAAATGGAAGGATAATTATTTAGGAGGTATTTGACAAACAATTTTCTGAAGAGTTTTTAGTTATTTGATAAGTTAAAAAACTAATTTAGGTATTTGGTAAATTAGCTTTTTAAAATAATTTATTGATTCCAAAAAACTAATTAACCCAACGTTTTGAAAGAGCTTTTTCAATTTAATTTTTTTATTTCTTATTTGCCTTTAAAATATTATTATTTATTTCACATACATATAAATATATATTTTACTACAGTAATTATAAATTATTTTAATATATTATTTATTAAATTATAATTTTATTTTTATAAAATTAAATTAATTAATTTTTATATATAATTAATTTTATTTATAAACTATATATATATTTATTAAAATAATATGAAAATAAAAACATAAATATTATTAATTTATTTTTATATTAAAAGGACATAAAATAGAATAAATTTATTAAAAATTATAAATATAATAAATTGATCAACAATTAATATAATAAATATATTTACAAACATTTAATTATTTTATATTTTATATTATTCTTAAAAAATATATTCATATTTCTTAATAAAAAACATATATTATTTTTCTCACATATAAAATTATTAAAAATAAAATAAAATTATAACACATACATAATTTGAAATAACTAATAACAAAAACTTTAAAATTTTTAAAACTAAAAAAACACAATTAATAAATTTTAAAAGTTAAAATATAAATGTACTGAATTGTCATTTTACGTAAAAACAGTTAATATCACACGGTTATTTTACCAAATATTTCAATACACATAGTTAATTGAATAGCTAGTCAAACCAACTAATTGAATCAGCTAATGGTCAAACACACCCTTAATTTAACATTATCTCCCTTCGTCCCTTAACAATCTATCCATTTTTTCATTTTGGTCCGTCCTATAACGAATTCATTTTCTTTTTTAGTAATTGTACTATCTACGTAACATTATAAATACCCTTTCAATTTACAATATATTACACAAGTGTCATTACCCTTCCAATTTACAATATATTACACAAATGTCGGTTAGTTTAGTTTTTTTTTTACTTTTATTTATATTTTATCTCAATATAATACTAATATTTCTAAAATTACTTACAAAAAACAAATAAATATATAGATACGGGAGAAGGGAGTAACTATTTCAAAATAATAAAAGAATAAAAATCCACCAAACACAAACAACCAAACCGTTTTGATGGTGTGTTTGTTTGGGAGTTTGGATTTTGAGTTGGGATTTGAATAGTTGTATGATGTGATATAAATAGATGTTGATATGATGTTTTGAATGTAAAATTGATTTTTAGTATAATATAAAAAATAATATTGTATTGCTTAAATGTAATAGGTTTAAATGTACAATGCGAATGATATTTTGGTAAATAGAAATAAAAGTAATAATAAATTGATATTAAGTGAGAAAATATAGACTATATTTTTAAAAGAAATTAAACTAAATTTCAAAAGTGCACATAATTTCAATTTTTATTTTCTATTTTTACGAACGGCCAATTTTTTTTTATATAAAAAATTGTGTCAAATAACTATTTTACTTGAAATAACCAAAATAAAAAATAAAAAAACTGTATACTTTTGTGTTAACTCATACAACTAAACTATACAATTATCATTTTTTTTTTTAAATTTTATTTTATGTAGATTAACTCATATATATTAATAGTATTTTATAGGCTATCGATAGTATATAAAAGTGTATTGACTAAAATATTTTTAAAAATATGATTTTTTTTTTTATTTTTTATTTTTTTAATTTCAAACTAAAATGAACATAAGCCCCTAAATTTCAAGTTTTATTCAATTTTTAATATAAAATAATTTTTATAATACAATTATGCTAATTTGCTCCACAAAATATTAAGATTATCACTTTCTTATATCTTTCTTTTTTCCGTTACTACTATAATAAGGAAGTTAAAAAAATAAGAACTCTCAATTCATTTTATATATTTTTAATAAAATATACTATTTTTTTTTTTATAAAATATTCTTTAAATAAAAATTCAAATAAAATTCAAAAACCCAAAAAAAAAAAAACAAACCTTACAATTTAGGAAGTTATCTAATTATAGTTTTACGTGAAATATAAGTATATTTTATTAATATGTGAATATTATATTTATTAAATCAAAAATAATACTCTTTCTCTCTCATATCTATATATCCATTTATTTTTTCACATAGTTTTAGAAATATTAGTATTATATTGGGATAAAGTAGCAATAAAAGTAAAATGACTTAATTAATCCTATTAGTATTGTATGATATAAAGGTAATGACATTTGTGTAATATATTGTAAATTGATAGGGTATTTGTAATGTTAGGTAAATAGTACAATTACTAAAAAAAAAAAAATAGATACTTTGTTATGTTTCCTGACCAAAATAGAAAAATGGATAAATTGTTAAAAGACAAGAAAAAATATATTTAATTGAGAGAATTAAAAGGATACCAAAGTTATATACTTTCTCCGTCTCACATGTTCTATGTTTTATTATTTTTAAAAAAGTATTTATATTTTGATCATATTTTTAAATTTTATAATTTGTAAAATTTTTATTAAACTAATTAGTTAATTTAATTTTAATATATAATTATTTATATTATATTGTAATTAATATTAATAATATATTTAAAATTATTTACTAATTATATTTCTTCTAAATTCTCGTATTTAGAGTAATTATGATACCATAATTGGAACTATGGAGTATTATTTAATCTATTGATTAACATTCTTTATACTTCTACCATCCACAAAATTTTCTCATTTCTTTTATTATTATTATTATTATTTTAGTCTATTTAGTCAAATCCTTCTCATTTTATTTATTTTTAAGTAAAGTTACATATTACATAAATATAAAAATATCTTATTTTATTATCACATTGATATTTTTATACTTAAAAATTAAGAGTAAAATTATTTCTACATACCTCATTTATATTACATTTTAAAAAAATATTACTCTCTCTATCTCACATAATTTGTCCATATTTTTACTTTTGTCCGTCCTATATAATTTGTCTTTTCTTTTATTTTGGAAAATTAATTATACACTTTAATCATATTTTAAAATTTACAATTTAGTAATCAATTAAACTATTTAATTATCTTAATGTCAATCTATAATTATTTTTACTAATATATTTTTTAATTAGTTACTAATTATATTTTACCTAAATTGCAGTATCTACTGTAATACTATCCTATATTACCTAGGACAGAGGGAGTATTATATTAAAATTTATGTAAAGAAATAAATGAAAAGGTAATGAAAAAATATAGAATACTTCATCCGTCTCTTAACAATCTATCTATTTTTCTATTTTTGTCTGACCCATAACAAAATGTCCATTTCATTTTTTAGTAATTGTATTATCTATTTAACATTACAAATACCCTTCCAATTTACAATATATTACACAAATATCGTAACTTTTATATCATACAATACTAATAGAATTAATTTAGTCTTTTTTATCTTTATTTTTATTTTATCCCAATATAATATTTATATTTTTAAAATTTCCGTGAAAAAAAAAAAACAAATCGATATATAGATATGTGATGAAACGAAAGGAGGGAACAGTATTTTAACACTTATAGATTATGCTATTCTCGTACAGCCGTACTTATTGAATATTCGAAAAATATTTTTGATATAAACAAATTTTCAATGTGAAGATTTTAGCTAATTATAATGAAATATGAATTTAGTTTATATTTAATTGTCATTTTCATTTAATTAGTTAAATTCCATAATCCTAATTATTATTACTATTATTTTATAATATATTTAGTAGAAAAATGTACGGACGGGAAAAGCAAAATAAGTGAACAACAGACTGACGGTACTGACCTGCATTCGTACGCAGTGCTGCGTAGAAACCACCGCCGGGCGCCGCCGCACACGCCGGGATATCACGCGCCGCCGCGATCCTCTCCGTGCACTCCACGGTCGATTTTATTTCCATCGGATCCGTATTTCCGCCGCCGGAGTGTCCCCTCGGCGGCTGATCGGGGCTCATGTCGCCGGTCTGCAACGCCTTTATGATCTTCTTAAGTACCTCCAAATCCTCGTTACATTTTTCCAGAGCTTTCAGTAACCGCTTGCGTTTTTTCGAGATTCGATCTTCTTCAGAATCGAACGAAGAACTGTTCGCGGCGACGCCGCGGATGTCCTCCAATCCCATAAGCTTCGCCACTAATGAGGAAGGAGTTCTGGAATCTTCGGTTGAGCTCGATCGGCGAATCTCCGCCTGAATCGTCGGACTCCGCGGCAATTTCAAGTCGCATATCACTCTATCCGTTTCGGAAATTAAAATTCGAGAGTTTTCATCTTCGGTTTCCGACGAGCGTTTGGCGTTCGTCGAAGACGACGACATCCGCCGCTTTTCGTGCTTCCTTCCTAAAACAGGAATTAGAAATTGCTACAGTTATGGCAGAATTTCAGAGATTTTCTTCTGACATAAACAGGAAAAACGAAAGGCGAAACAAAATCAACATATATAATTGAATCAAGTGATTTCTGACCTAATGTGAGGCGGCGATTAGCATTCTGGTATTTGGAGAAGAGTCGAAGGATTCCAGACATGCAACCTACAGCTTTTCCGTTGTGAGATTCCGGCGGCGGAGTTGCTGCGCCCTGCCGGCGAGAGGAGGAGAGTAAACTGTCTTGTCTTTTGAGCATTTCTGGGATGGGAAGCAGTGAGGAAACTGTCTTTGTTCTTTTTTTTTTTTTTTGTTTTTATGTTTATTGTTTACTGCCTTTCACATGAATAATGAGGGGAAGCTGAATTAATGCCATTTTTTTTTTTTTTTTTTTTTTATTTACACGGGACTTAATATCCTGTAGACTAGGCATTAGGGTTCCTCATGATATCACGATAACAATTTCAACTCCTATATCATTAAGCTAGACTTAAGCGGGTTATTTGCGGGTTAACCTGCAGCGGGACAGATCAAAATTTCATCGGGTCAACTCAACCTACAAACTTTTTAAAAATATTAAAATAATATTAATATTATAAATATTTTCGTAATTAATATTTAAAAACAGCTAAAAATAGTTTTACTGTAGAATATAAATAATAAATATTTTAAAATAAATAAAAAAATATAAAAATTCTCAACTCTAAATATTATTAATGGTGTATTTTAAAAAATTAATAATAAAAAATATTTTATTTTAAAAATAAATCATAATTAATTTTATGAATTTGTCAAATTATAAAATAATAAAATGGAAGACGAACAAAACAAATGATGAAAAATCGAAACAAATAACAATGTCATGAATAACATAGTTAGAGAAGAAAAACAACGTGCAGACAATATTGATAATTTATTTAAGCTAATGATAATATAAATTTTATTTTATTTGTTAACTTATTTATAATGGTATGTTTGTAATTTATAAAAAATTAAAATATATTCTTATATTAATATTTGATTAGTTTTATTATAATTTTTTAATATGAAAGTAAAAATTTGTAAAAAAAATACATTTAGTTAGACGAGTGAGTACTAATTATTATATTTATTTGACCCGCGGGCTAACCCGCCCCACTGAAAGTTAACCTACCCCCAACCCGTGGCCCATGCGGGTTGGCTCATTTAGGCCCGTATTTTAACGGGTTTATAAAATCACAACCTAACCCTCCTTAAAAGTAAGGCGGGATGGACCAACCCAATGAGCTCAACTCATTTTGACGGCTTACACCAAGCCATCCCATGTGGCTATACGTGCATTGCTCCTGTTACTGTTAAATTAGTACTGTTAAATCTGTATTTATTTCATCATTGTCCCCAGGGCCGTCCTTCGGCATGGGTGAAAGAGGTGCCCGCCCAGGGCCCAATTTATATTGGGTCTCATTATTTATTTATTTATATTATTTATAATTTATTTATATATACAAATTATTTAATATTAATATATTAATAAAGAGTATGGTTTGGTAGTTAAATTTTATTTACGTTATTTTTGAAGTTTTGGGGCCTCTAATTTTTGTTTTAAGATTGTTAATATTAATACTATTATTGATATTTATGTAAAAATTCTAAAAAGAAATTATTTTATTTAATAATTTATATTCTATTATAGGTAAAAAAAAAAAATCGGAGTCGATCATTTATATATATATTTAGTTATCTTTTATTTTTGTTTTAATTATTTTTTTGCACTAAAAAGATAATAAATATTAGATAAAATTATTATTATTATTATTATTATTATTATTATTAGGCAAAATTATCAATAACGATTTCAAAACTTAATGTAAATTCTCTATATACTTTAAAAATGGCATGAACACCATTATACTTTAAAAAACGTTCCATGAAATTCATTTTTATATTTTTTTGGTGATGAGAAGATGACTTTTCATCTATATTTTTTTGCATGGCGGAGGTTTCATACAGCGATTGTTAAAATATAAGGAAGCGTTACATAATTTTTAAAGTATATGAAAAATTTATGCTAAGTTTCGAAACTAAATTATGCTAGAATTTTTTTTTATTATTTTTATTTTATTATAGGTAAAAAATATTATATATATATTTAAGGGCCCTTAACTTTTATTTCTCCCCGGGCCCTTCGAAAGTTAGGAACGACCCTGATTGTCCCGTAAATGAAAGTTTAGTGGTGGTGTAATGGTGAATTATAACTGTGAGATCATGAGTTTAAACATACGATGTCTCCAAATTACCTGTCATACATGGTTGACTTAGTGTGATTTGTCTTGTTGGACATAATGTGCAGACTATTAGGTTCGGTCGGAAATTTACCCATTTTCGGGTAAGAGCTGCAGATTCTCACATCATAAATAAATATATATATAAAAAAATTAAAAAATATTAATATACTCACTTCGTCCCTCAAAGACGTATTCAAATATTTTTTTGCACGAAATTTTATATATATTAGTAGTCACCCTATCCTATTGCAGATGACCATTTTCTTTTTTTTTTTTTTTTTTACAAAAGATGATTTCTTTCTTATTTTTCATAAATTTATCAATGTTAAACACAATTAACATATATAAATTAATTTAATTAAATTTTTAACTCTTGATCTCCTTAATTAACATATTTTTATTGACCTTTAAACTCTCTATTTTTTTTATCAAACTAATTTGTGCTAATAAATAAATATATATTTTTTATTTGTATTATAGTATAAATTTTGATTTTCTACAAAATGATATCCATATTGTATATATTTTATTAAGCTATAATATTAAAAATATTTAAACACGTTTTTAATTTATTTTAATAATTAAATAACTAATCTTCACTATTTAAATAACTAATTTATATTATTTAAATTATCGTATCCAAACAAAATGGTTCATCATTGCGGAGATATGAAATACTCCCTCTGTCCCAATACAATAGTCATGTTTACTATTATTGTCCTTCATAAAACAATAGTCTCATTTCCATAAATAATCATATCATTATAAAACTATCCTTACTTTTTCATTGTTATTACACAATTACCACTACTTTTTACACCAATACACTTACAAGGGCAAAAAAGTCTTTTAACCGTACTTTTTACCTACTACCAATATAATATCAATATTCTTTAAATCTCGTGCCAAAACCAACCTATACTATAATTCTAGGACATAAGAAGTATTATATTTGTATGTAGTATAATAATGTTAAAATGACAAAAATAACCTTATTAGTGTTATATGATATAAAGATAATGACATTTGTATAATATATTGTAAGTTGTACATGTATTTTTAATGTTAAGTAAACACCACAGTTATTAAAGAAAAGAAATGGATATTTTGTTATGAGACGGACCAAAATAGAAAAATGAATAGTTTATTAAATGACGAAAAAGATAATATGTATATTTTAATAGTACATTATATAATTTTATATATCAAAGATATTATGATTTCAGTAAAATATAATATAATAGCAATTTAACCAATAACAAATGTTTAAAAAAAATAGCAAATATTAATATAATATATACCAACACAACATGTATTATATATTTTGTGATGAAATACTAATTGTTTAAGATAATGTGTTACTTGATAATATGCTACTCCTTCTATCCCACTTAATTTGTTCACTATTTTCATATATACCCGTCTCACATAAATTGTCTATTTTTTTAAAAAAAATATAATTATACACTTTAATCACATTTTAAAATTCATATTTTAATTAAACCATTTAATTATTTTAGAGTTTGTTCACACAAATATTTTTTTCTCGATACGATTTTCAATATATATTGTATTATCTCACAAAAGTCAACATTCAACATAAAATATTACTCTTTATACTATTATTAACACAATTTTCTATATCTTACACGTCAAAATAAAAATTTCAAATCAAAACACTAAACAAACAAACTCAATCTATAATTATTTTTATTATATCATAATTATTTTTACTAATATATTTTTTTTAATTATTTACTAATTACATCATACCTAAACTACGTGCTCCAGCTAAAGTAGACAAATTAGCTGGGACGGAGGGAATATTTGCTTTGTGATAAATTATTAATTATTTCATCTTGATTTGCATGCATCAATCCTAACCCAACGTATTTATTATCGTGTCAAATTTGTATCGACTCGTATATATTATTGAATTAAAATTTTTAATCCAAACCAAATTATCTCATAGCAGATTGATTTTTAGTAACTAATAAAGTATAGGCCACTAATTCCAAAATCAAACTGTCCAATCAATAAAAAAATAGTATATTTGTAACGGAATTCCGTTCCTAAAGTTCACGTAGCTAACGTAATTTCATCTCTAATTCCGTCTCTAATATCATTTGTAACGAAAAAAATGAATTTAAGAACGAAAAAATCTTGTTACAGAATTGATATTTTTTTGTAGTGAATGCATGGAATCATATGATTATGGTTGTGTTATAAATAGGCGTTGATGTGATGCTTTGAATATAAAATTGATTTTTAGTATAATATAAAAAATGAAAAATAGGTGTTTGATTTGATGTTTTTGAGAGGAAAAAATAAGATGAATAGTGTAAATCAAATCCAATCCCCCAAACAAACACACCCTTAAGGTATTTTAAGAAAATCATTTATTTTTTATTTTAAAAAAAAAAAGAAAAAGAAAAAATATTTTTTAGTATTGGGCCAGACTGCCACAAATTCAAATAAGACCTTACTCCAGCTTGGGCTTTCGGCCCATTTTAATATCATGTAGGCCCAAGCCAACCTAAGTTTTTTTATCTTTACTAACTTTAAATTAGCATATGCTTCCATTTATACTGTGAACAAAATATTTAAAATTCGAAAATCTGATCGGAACTAAATTAAAATTAAAATTTTGTTTTGGATTTTTGAATTTGTTTGAATTGAAGATTTGATAAATTTCAGACCTTTAATCGTTATACTTAAAAATCCGAATCAATCTAAAACACAAATTATAAAATTTTAATACATTTTATTATATACATATACATATTAATTTATTAAAAATATTATAATTTAATAAAAATAAACTCAAACTTATTAATTAGATTTTAATATACTTAATTTTTATATATTATATACACTTAATATTATAACACAATTATTAAAATATAAAGTAAAATTATAAAGTCATGAAAAATTGTAAAAATATCCATACAATACATTTTTATTTTTATTCTTTTTACAAATTTTACCTTTCCTCTTGGTTTATTTTAGAGTTTTGAGCTATGGACGTGCATG